AAGCAGAGAGGTGTTACCGCTGCCTGCGATCCGTTTCCAGAGGGTCTGGTTTGCATTTGTTGCCTATAGCATAGTTGCCGTGGCCAGACTCCAGGGAGTGCAGTGTCTGACGTGCAAGTGACAGGTAGTCCTTTTACCAAGGTGTCTGTAGCAGCTTAAGGGAATTCATGCCGACCGTAACCCTTAAGTCCCTCTGGTGTTGCGTTGGCCGCCTTTTGTCATGTGCAAAGACAGTGTAAGCAGGTTACACGCAACTCCTATCAAGTATTTTATAGGTAAACAAAACCAGGATTTAAGGAGCTGCAAGTGTCAGTTAAGCTCACCCAAATCCAGCTGCCTCAATGTGGCCAAGTCACCATCCAGCAGGTTAGTTTTTCCTTCTGAGTAGTTGAACATTCCTATTACTGGTTTGGTGGTGGGTTTTTGTGTTTTGGGTGGTTTTTTTGTTTGGTGGTTTGTGGTGATGTGTGGTTTTGTTGTTTGGGTTTTTTTTTATTCTTGCATTTGCATCTCAAAACTCAAAATCTTAAACTCTCTCTCCATGTTTACCTTTGTTGTACATGTTTCTATTCCATATACACCCCAGCTCCATCCAGCAACTCAGCAATTTCCACAGGCTGTACAGAAAAACTAGGTCCTGAATCACAAGCAGCTGAAGATCCAGGAAGAGGAAACGGTTACATCAGGGGGAATATACTGATGCTACATCACTAAAAGGAAGAAAAAAAACCCAAAACAAAACAAAACAAAAAAAACATGTTGAGAAATAGAGCAATTCTATTTCAATGCCCAGACAAAACAATGGAAATAACTCTGCGTTTTCACCTTTTTGAAATAACACTCCACAAAGAGTATGATGAACACAGTTTAATTAAGAATTATAGCCATAGTTACATTACATCTCAGAACATGAATTCCGTATTCCCACTGTATAAAGTTCCACATCCATACTTTCTAGAACAAGGAAGGGAAGAGATCTGATAGTCTTTAATGCTTACATAATTTCCAAGATGAAAAGTATTAGTGGAAACAGTAGTAGTCTTTTTGCATACTATGAAGGTAGTGCTTACTGCTTTCAGCAAGAGAAGGGATTATAAATAAAAGTATCTAAACATTAGGGGAAGGGAAAAACTATATCCAAAGTGTTTCACAGAATTAATGCTTTCAAACAGTGCTTCAACCCAGTGGAAGAGCAACAAATCCCCGAAGGTTTCATTTTGCCCTGAAAGACATTTGAAGCAGGAGTGTAACTTGACATATGTGGCAGTTAACTACACATACACATGGAAATCCACCTTTTAAAAACAAATAGCGTTGATAGTGTTTGATTCCCTTATACGCAGGCACAAGCTTTGCTAGCTTCTCTTTCCAGAACTTAGTGAGACTGTGCAATACTGGAGCAGTAGTCTAAAATATCCTGTATAGTGAATTCCATAGTAATTCCTGATCCAGGATAGCAGCGAGCTATCAGCCCTTCAAAGTGCTTGTATTGTCGTATAAACTCATCTTGCATGGAATGCCACACAACCTGCCAAAGAAAGCAAACTTTAGGAAACATCAACTGGCACAATACACAATATGTGAACTAAAAACATTGGCTCATTGATTCTCAGCTCAGGAGTCATTTTAAAACTAGTTTGCTAACAACAACATTCAGTAAACTGAGTTGCTACATTAAAAAAAATTATTCGAGCTGTTTACCCATTAAGATCTTTAATGTTTACATGACGCCTACCAAATCTGCAAAGCAGAGAATAGTAAAGAAGATGAGGAAGTTCCCCTGAAAGAGGTATTGCATTTGTCTTGAAAGAAAACACCCCGAACCAGAACAGTACTACTAATTCATGTTTCAGACTTTAAAAAGCTGTTAATACATGCTTAACTCTTAAATCTATATATCATTTACTCCAGTAAGAAAGTTTACAGAGTATAAGAAAAAAACTTGGATAATACAACTATCAGAAAAGATACAATACAAAGTATATTCTGCTATAGTGTACCAGCTAAATTTCGTATTGGGTTAACAGTTCATTTAAATCTAGTTCTCTCTACTTCCAGTATATTTTGCAGAACAGAGATCATCCATTAATGGTCAGCTAGAGAATCATAAAGGAAGTTTCTTTCTGAACTCTATCTCTACTACCACAGTTTAAATCAATGTTACAACAAACAGAATCAGATGGGATTATAAAAAAACTCCGCTCAAAATCCATGTTTTTTGAGAGTTATGCTGAAGTTAGGCACTTCTCACAGAATACATATACAAAAACAATACTAAAAAGCCTTTGTGTAAACACATTACAAGGTTTTTAAACCATGATTTAGTTTACCTGAAGTAAGTTTTCTTCTTCACAGAGGTGTTTATCTACCTTCTTGTAGAGATTATCCAACCCCTTCTTCACTTCCTTACCGGGATACTCCTTTATAACCTTGCGAAGCTCTTGTTTATTAAAAGCCAGTTGATAGCTTACTTCCTCTTCTCGTATACCTTGTGCTACACGAGCTTCAACGCCTTCAAAAAAATGCTAACAAAGAATAACAGCATTAATGATTATCACGAGTCTAAACTAAGTAGTTAAGTCTTTGTCCTATTTTTAGCTGGGACAGAGTTAGCTCTCCTTTTTAGCAGCTAGAAGAGCTCCGTGTTTTGGTTTTACTCAGGGTCTCGCTCTGAGAAGAATGCTGATAGCAAGTTGATGTTTGAGACTCCAAGGACTTTTCAGTGTGCCGTGTTCTGGCTGGAGTGCAGAAACATGGCGGGATGAGGGGGGAGCATAGCTGGGACAAGGGGGACACGATTCCCCTTGTGATTTGTGGTGGAACTTAAGATTGAGGGACAAACTGGCCAATTGGTATTCCATATCACGCAGCGTCATGCCCAGTATAAAAGTGAGGGTCAGCCGGAAAGAAGGGCTTTTGCGCTTTGGCTCTTTCGCGTTTGCTGTGCTGTTGCTCTATTGTTTTTCTTTCTT